TCGTGTTTCGGAGGGGATCAGGAGCAAGCGGGCGCAACAAGTATGTTGATTCGCTGTGTTGAAGTCAAACAAATGGCGTTCTGGCACGATCCTGGATCGTCAAGACGCAGCAATCAGGTTGATACGCGGCGTTGAAATCCCGAAAGCATTTTCTGGCACGCTTCAAGATCTTGAGACTGTTGTCTTCCGGCGAAGCAATTCCCTCAATGGAAATGAACCGCCGTAGGGGCCTGTGAAAGGGGAAGCTTCGAGAGAGGGTTGATTCCAAACTCGGTGGTCGCTCTTGGGTTTACACTGGTCCGCCTCCTCAATCTCCTCTTCTTGTTCTTCCTCCTCCTCCTCCTTCTCCTCCTACTCCTCCTCCTCTTCTTATTCTTCCTCCTCCTCCTCATCCGCCTCCTCCTCCTCCTCCTCCTCCTCCCGTCCTCCTCCTCCTCCTCCTGCTCCTTCCCCTCCTCCTCCTCCAACTCCTTCTCCTCCTCTTCCTCCTCCTCCTCCCTCCTCCCCCTCCTCCTCCTCCTCCTCCTCCTCCTCCTCCTCCTCTCTCTCCGCCTCCTCCTCCTCCTCTCCTCCTTCCTCCTCCTCCCTCATCCTACTCCTCCCCTCCTCCTCCTCCTCCCCTCCTCTTCCTCTACTCTCCTCCTCCTCCTCCTCTCCCCTCCCCTCCTGCCCCTCCTCCTCCTCCTCCTCCTCCTCCTCCTCCTCCTCCGCCTCCCCCCTTTCTTTCCTCCCCTCCTCCTCCTCCTCCTCCTCCAATCCCCTCCTCCTCCTCCTCCTCCTCCTGCTGCCCCTCCTGCTCCTCCTGCTCCTCCCCTCCTCTTGCTCTCCTCTCCTCCTCCTCTCCTCCTCCTCTCCACCCTTTCCTCCTCTGCTGATCCTCCTCCTCCTCCTCCCCTCCTCCTCCTCCTCCAACATCCTCCTCCTCCTCCTCCCCTCCTCCCTCCTCTCCTCCTCCTCCTCCTTCGACTCCCTCTCCTCCCCTCCACTCCTCATCCTCCTCCTCCTGCCCTCCCCTCTCCTCCTCCTACTCTCCTCCTCCTCCTCTCCCTCCTCCTCCTCCTCCTCCACCTCCCCCAACTCCTCGCCTGCCCTCATGCCCCGTCCTCCTTCTCTCCTCCTCTGCCCTCCCCCTCCATTTCCTCCATCTCCTCCTCCATTCCTCCATCTACTCCTCCTTCTCCTCCTCCTCTCCTCCTCAGCCCCCAAATCCTCCTCTCCCTCGCATCCTTCTCCTCCCCTCTGCCGTTGTCCTCCTCCTACTCCTCCACTACGCTTGCTACTGCTCCTCCTCCTCCTCCTCCTCCTCCTCCTCCTCCGCCTCCTCCTCCTCATCCTCTTGCTATGCTCATCCTCCTCTTCCTCCTCCTCCTCCTCCCCTCCTCCTCTCCTCCTCGTCCTCCTCGTCCTCCTCCTCCCTCCTCCTCCTCCTCCTTTCCTTCATCGTCGCATCCTCCTCCTCCCCTCTGCCGGTGCCTCTCCTCCTCCTCCTCCTCCTCCTCATCCTCCTCCTCCTCATCCTCCTTTCCCCCCTCCCCCTCCTCTCCTTCTCCTTATAGATACTTCAAAATGTCACACCCCGAGGCCAGTTTTAGGGCGGGCCGGGCGTTTCGCCTGAGACTCCCTCACCACTTGTGACCCTGATATTTAAACTATGACAACACTGTTACAGATCGAGGGCGGGTCGTTTCAAAATGTGGCTCTCGCTTTGGCGCCCTGCACATTCGTGGAAACAACATTGCAAGAGCTTCGCTGATTAAAAGCAGGTCTTTTCAGAATGTGGCTCTCGCCGTAGCGCCGCGCATATTCGTTTTCAGAATTCGCATAAGTTTCACGGATTGAAGGCGGGTCGTTTTCGAAATATGGCTCTCGCCTTAGCGCCGCGCACCTTCGTCTTTTAAAATGTCCCAGGGTTTCAAGGATTTGGGGTGGGTGGTTTTCAAAATGTTGCTCTCGCCTTAGCACCGCGCACATACGTTTTCAGAATTGGCAAGAGCTTCGTGGATTGAGGGCGGGTGGTTTTCAAAAATGTGGCTCTCGCCTTAGCGCCGCGCACATTTGTTTTTCAGAATTTGCAGAAGTTTCACGGTTTGAAGGCGGGTGGTTTTCAAAATGTGGCTCTCGCCTTAGCTCCGCGCACATTCGTTTTTCAGAATGTGCACAAGCTTCACGGATTGGGGGCGGGTGGTTTTCAAAATGTTGCTCTCGCCTTAGCGCCGCGAACATTCGTTTTTCAGAATTTGCAAAGAGCTTCATGGATTGAAGGCGGGCCGTTTTCGAAGTGTGGCTCTCGCCTTAGCGCCGCGCGCATTCCGGATTCCCATGATCAGCGTACCAGAAAGTGCGTTAGAAGGGTTCAGGATTATGCGGGCGCAACAGTTATGTTGATTCGCGGTGTCGAAATTCAGGAAAAACAAGCGTTCTGGCACGATCCTAGATCGTCAAGACGCAGCAGTCAGGTTGATACGTGGCGTTGAAATCCCGAAAGCAATGTTTTGACACGCTACAGGATCTTCCAACGGTTGTCCTCCAACGAGGCAGTTCCCTCAATGGAAATGAACCATTGTAAGGCCCTGCGAAGAGGGAGCTTGGAGGGAGGGTTCATTCCAAAGTCGTGGATGACTCTTGGGTTTACACTGGTCCTCCTCCTCCTCTTCTTTCCATCCTCCCCTCTGCCGTTTTCCTCCTCCCCCTCCTCCTCCTCCTCCTCCTGCTGCTCCCAAGCGCAGCATCTAAACGACATACCGCTGCTTGCGGCGGCTGTGCCCACAGTGCACCAGCCAGGGACCACCCCGCGAGGCAAGCGGAGGCTGCACCCCGCGAGGCAAGCGGAGGCTGCGGCGCGCCCTCCAGCTCTCCCGGCGCCGGACGTGCGCGCCGGCGCAGGCGACTCTGGCTTGTGATCCAGCATGGCCTCGCTCCTCCCGCACAGCGAACAGCGGACGAGGGAACGGCGACGTGATGCTCACCCTCCTCCTTCTTCTCATCCTACCCCCTCCTCCTTCTTACCTCCTCCCTCCTCCCTCCTCCCTCCTCCCTCCTCCCTCGCTCCTCGCCACCTCGGCGCAGCGTGGCCAGCGGAATGCGTGCAGCCCGTCGCACGCAACTCATCACTGCCTGGATCTGCTTTCAGGTCGGGCACGTCCTCCTACAGGCGGATTTTGGAGGAAAAATAACAACGCCCCACACATTTCAACAAAATAGCTCAAATGTAATCAAACAATCGTCCCCATGCGAATGTTTGGCTATAATTCCCTAACTAGGCTCTGCCTAGAGGGTTCTTACTCTCTTTCTTAAAGGGGCCGGGCAGTGCACACCGCCCCGGGCGGTTCCCCAAGTATCCGCTCCGCGGTTCCCCCATTATGTCATATTAGCTTAGCTTAGCTTCATCTTAGTTCAGGTTTATCTTAGCTTAGCTTACCTTCATCTCAGCTTCGCTGAGCTTTAGCATAGCAGAGCACAGCATAGCATAGCATAGGGAAACACAGCATATGATAGCATAGCCCAGCATAGCATAGCATAACATAGCGCAGCATAGCATAGCATAGCACAGCATAGCATAGCACATCATAGCATAGCATGGGTGTAGTTCCCTACCTAGGCTCTGCCTAGAGGGTTAGCTTAGCTTAGCCTAGCTTAGCATAGCGCAGCGCTGCATTAGCATAGCATAGCCTAGCATAGCATACCATAGCCGATCATATCATAGCATAGCATAGCATAGCGCAGCATATCATAGCATCGTACATCATATCAATCATAGCATAGCATATCATAGCGCAGCTTAGCATATCATATCATAATATAGCTTAACATAGCACAGCGCAGCATGACATAGCATAGCATAGCATAGCATAACATATCATAGCATAGCGCAGCATAGCATAGCATACAATAGCACATCATAGCGCAGCATAGCATGGCAAGGCATAGTATAGCATAGCATAGTAACTAATGCTGCTTTCCTAGGGGCTCCAACTTCGAGGTAGGGTCGCACTGGGGTAATTGGAATATTCCCCCTGTAGAGGGACACGCCCGGCTTAAATCTACTTCGCGACGAGCCGACTCCACGGCGCTCGCTGCAACCACTGCGGGAGCAGCGACCGCGCTGGAACCAGGACGGCGTGCCCTTGCGGTGCACCGCCGACTCCTCCCCAGACCCCCGACGTCAGGATTTTTTCCATGACGCGACCCCCAGGTCCAGACCCATTCCCCAGTAGGACCGGTCTTGTTATCCTGAATGCTCTGTGTCCCTCAATAGTTCTTGGCCCCTGGACTACAAGTACCCCCTGGGCTACAGGTACCCGCTCCCCGGACTACAGGTACCCCTCCCCAGGTATATCCCCCCCGGGACTACAAGTCCCCCCCTGCCCGGACTACAAGTACTATCCCCCCCGGACTACAGGTACCCGCTCCCCTGAATTACAGGTACCCCACCCTGGACTACTGGTATCCCCCCGACTCCAGGTACCCCTCCAAGGTACCCTCCCCCGACTGCAGGTACCCCAGATACCCTACCCAAGTACGCTCCCCTGAGGGGAACAGTTGAGGGACACAGAGTATAGCTTTTTGAAGGTTCCGAGGCCCGGTGAGGTCGGGCGTGTCCCCCTAGAGGCCGGTTTCCGACGAAAAGTGAAACAAAAACAAATGCTCAAAGATATATATAGATCTTTAATTATACAACATCGTCCCCATACTATATATTGTGACCATGCTTGACTTGTCCCCCTGTAGAAGGGCGGGCCCGACCTGAAGAGATAGCAGAACAGAGCCTCCCGTCCTGACTTCTGCGCCCCGCGCGGGCGCCTGGGCCGCTGGCTCCTCTGCGCGCCCCGCCCGCCCTCCCCGGACGGCCTCGGCTCCGCGCCCCGCTCGGGCGGTCGCCGCGCGCGCCGGGCCGCCCGCGGCGCTCGCGGGGCGGCGGGGCGCGGCGGCCGGCGGGGGCGCCGCCCGAGGCCGCCGCGGCGCCCGGGCCCGGGGGCGGGGCCCACGGGCCCGTGCGGCGCCGGGGGGCGCTGCCCGCGGGCCGCGGCGGGGGCGCCTCTCGGCGTGCGGCCTCCGTCCCCGCCGCCGTGCCCAGAGCCCCTCGCGTCGTGAGCAGAACTCGCGGCGGGAGGCGTGTTGCCGCTGTGTTCGGCCTCGGGAGGCCGTCACCGGGCCTCGGGACCGTCAAAAAAGCCAAACATGGTATCAGAAAAATCGTCCCCCGACAATGTTTAGGCTATTTTTGGATGTCCTTCATGTAGAGGGACACGCCCGACTTCTTCTGGGGGGCGCGTCATGAAAAACTCCTGACGTCGTGCGTCTGGGACTGTCCCCCCTCCGTCTTCCAAGTGGACCCCCTCCCAGCATTGTCCTCCTCCGCCTCCTTCGCGCCTCCCATCCGCGCCCTCTTCCCTCCCCCACCTCCTCCCTGCACTCATCTTCTTTGTCCTCCTCCTTCCTCCCCCTCATCCTCCTCCTCCTCCTCCTCCTCCTCCTCCTCCTCCTCCTCACTCCTCCTCCTCCTCCTTCTCCTCCTCCTCCTCCTCCTCCTCCTCCATCCGCTCCTCCTCCTCCTCCTCCTCCCTCCTCCTCGTCCTCTCGTCCTCGTCGTCCTCGTTGTCGTCCTCGTCCTCCTCCCTCCTCCTGCGTCTTCCTCCTCCTCCTCCTCTCTCCTCCTCCCCTCCCTCCTCCTCCTCCTCCTCCTCCTCCCCTCCTCCTCCTCCTCCTCCCCTCCTCTCCTCTCCTCCTCCTCCTCCTCCTCCTCCTCCTCCCCTCCTGCCTCCTCCTCTCCTCCCTCCCTCCTCCTCCTCCTCCTCCTCCTCTTCCTCCACCTCCTCCCCCTCCTCCTGCCCCTCCAGACCCCCTCCCCCATGGCTCCGGGAACCTCGTGCGACCTCCCGAAACCCTTTCAGCCTCCCCCTCCTCCTTGTCCCACCCCTGCCTCCTTCTTTTCCTTTTCCTCCGCCCAGGCGCTGGCCTGCGGCTTGGCTGCAGTCCCTGGGCCCAGGAGGTCGGAGATCTTGGCTGGCGTGCCGGAGGCCACCGCCGAGGCCCACTCGCCAGTCTCGGTCCAACCGATCAGCGCGAGGAGCACGGGGGCCTTCGTGGCTCGCCAACTGTGCACATACAGTGGAGGCCAGTCCACAAGAAACCCTTCGCAAGAAACCCAACCCTGAGACCCCAGGACGTCCACTGTTTTGTGGTGTGGAACCTCGCGCTTACCACAGCAAAGCCATCGGAACCCAAGAAATCCAGTGCACTCTGGAGGCAAGCAGGGTGTTTCTTGGCAAGGGTCTACACTGTGCACCGATCGTGGCCAGGCCGAACCTCGGCCAAAAAATCGGTGAACACGCCCCGCGTTGGAGTAGTCCCGATCCTCTCCTGGGGCGGCCCGGGGCGCAGCGCTGTAGCCCCCCCCCCCGGGGGAGGCGGGAACGCGGGGAAGGGGGAGGGGCGAAGGGGAGAAGGAGGATGAGGAGGAGGAGGAGGAGAAGGAGGAGAAGGAGGAGGAGGAGGAGAAGGAGGAGGGGGAGGAGGAGGAGGAGGAGGAGGAGGAGGAGGAGAGGGAGGAGGGAGGAGGGGGTGGAGGAGAAGGAGGAGGAGAAGGAGGAGAAGAAGGTAGGGAGGAGGAGGAGGAGGAGGAGGAGGAGGAGGAGGAGGAGGAGGAGGAGGAGGAAGAAGAGGACGAGGAGAGGAGGGGGAGCAGGAGGAGGAGGAGAAGGGGGAGGTGGAGGAGGAGGAGGAGAGGGAGGAGGAGGAGGAGGAGGAGGAGGAGGAGGAGGAGGAGGAGGAGGAGGAGGAGGAGAAAGCAGACGGGGAACTGGGAGGAAAGAAGAAGGATGAGGAGGAGGAGGAGAAGAAGAGGTCCCTGATCCATGTCCATGCAACGTCAGAAAGGGAGGGAGGAAGGATGACAGAGCAGGAGGAGAGGGAGGTGGGCCATAACTAACCCAACACACACCACTAATGCTGCGATGCGCCACTGTCACGTACCCCCCTCATCAGCCAACGCATGCTTCTTGAACAATGTGGAACCATGGCGATGCATGGTGAAGGCGCCATGTACAATCGGACCTGGTTGGACAGGACACGCGAGAGGATACAATACCCTTCCGAGGGCCACATCGCCGTAGGAATGTAAGAAGGCATGGGTCGCGATACGCAGGACGTAAGGGTACCCTTGCGCTGGCAAGACCGACCTACTTATCAAGGCCGGCTGTATTTGAATCCCCCATCAACAGTCACACTACGTAATACACAGTCGCGCGCCGTTTGAGGGGCAACAGCGTGCACCAAAGGGGCCCAATGTCCTGCACCAAAGGGGCCCCACTGTCCTTCCTTCCCCCCAAAACGGCGTTGTCCAGTTGACAACCTCTAGCGGCATCCAGCGGAGGTGACATGGCTGCTCCCGCCATCGGTGGCAACTCATGGGAGACTCACCATCTTGTCGGCTCTTGCGAATCGGCGCTCGTCGACGCTACATTCAGGGGAACGTAAGACCTGGGTACAGGGGACTCGGAAATCCCCGACGAGGTCGTCAACAAAAATGACGAGGCCGAGCCTGCATTTTGACGAGGCCTCCCGCTGCAGACATCCCACGAAACTCCTCCTCGTCAAAATCCGAGGCGCGGTCGTCAAAAAACGATGGCGAACCCGAGTCCTGGCAAACCCGGGTCTTACGCTCCCCCGATACATCGACGCTAATCGACGCTTGCTCGACGCGAATCGACGCGACATCGGCGCTATCTCGCCGACTCCCAGACGCTCATCGACGCCGGCCGACGCCAAAGGCTGAATTCAAGGGGCACGCCAGGCTCCCAGGGCTTTGCTTCCGAACCCGCCCGAATTTCCTTCGGCACTTCGCTTGCTGGGCCGCCCGCCGCCGCCCCTTGTCACAGCCCGTGGTCGCCGCGCACGTTCGCCGCCCGTGGGCGCCCCCCCGTGGGCGCCCCTCGCGGGCGCCTCTCGCGGGCACCCCGTGGGCGCTTCGTCCGCTGGCTGGCACTTCCGGGCGCACACGCGGGCGACCTCGGACACCCGGAGCCCGAAACCGGTGTCCCTCTCCTGGGGGCGCTTCTTCTGCTTTCGCCGCCTTCCGCCGAGTTTCCGCCGGCTCCCGGCGGCGGAGGCGGCCTCGTGTTCCTTCCGCCGGCCTTCCGCCGCGGAAGGGATGACAACTCCTTCGATCCTCGAAGGCAAAGCCATTTTCTGGATCGCCCCACGTATGTTTGCCAGCACAGACCACAACGCAATGAGTTTTGTCCACTCTGGCCAGGTTGGACTGTGCGATGCAATTTACGCACGTCGAACAAACGATGTGGTACAAGCTGCATGTCACAACCAACTGGAACGAACAGTGTGTTGCAAGCTGCGTAGCGCAGTCGACGTTGCACAAACTTGGTGGCGCGGGTGCGTAGCACAATCAGTCAAACTCGCAAATGAATTATCAACTCCATTGCTCGCGCAATCATCCCACCCCCTTACCCACAACTTGCCGTCGTTCGGACGACCATTTCCCGTGCATTTGCCGGTTTCGTGCGTGCTTTGTTTTGCTCGATGGTGCAGGATGGTCCTTGATGGTTTCCGCAGAGAAAAAATGCACACGTCTGAGCGATGCCAGGACGACGTGTGATGCAACACCTATCCGGCCACAGTTGCGGTGAATGCTTGGCACTGGCTGGCACATCTCTGCGGCCGCGCTGAAGCGCGCGCACTCGCGCGGCGGGTGTGGCATAACCAATGCGGCCCGTCTCGAAGGCCGCGTTGGCGCGCGGGCGCCTCAGTGCGGGTCGGTGACTCGGGAGGGCGCGATACCATGATGACGCCGACAACGGCGGCAACGATGATGACAGTACCGATGGTGGTGGCGACAATGACGATGCGATGGCGATGACAACGGCAATGGCAACGATGGCGATTGGTGGCGAGGACAACGGCAAGGCCAATGACGTGTCGGTGCTGAAGGTGATTGGTCGATGATGCGGCAATTGTGGTGATTGGAGATGACGGTAACGGCGGTGATGCGATGGCGCTGATGAGGGTGGTGGTATGGAAGTTTGCGCGCAAGAATACAAGACATGTGGCAAACTCTCGGTTGACAGATTTGTGTTCTCAGCTATGTTTGCAGAGTTTTTCATTGCCATGCTTTGAGAACAACTGGTGTTGGAGAGATTTCGACACGTGCGCGTGTCTGCGCCCGCGTGTGACCCGCATGCTATTATGTGATGTGGTTTCGCCCGCTGGGAACATGCTAAATCAACGCAGATGCGCCGGGTGGTGATATGTGAGTGCGGTTTCTGGTCGAGATCGCGAAACGTATGTTGTTTTCACACAAATTCAGCAAGTGCGCGCGGGCAAACACTCGGCAAGAATTTCGAGGAGCAGCGAACGGGCTTCGATTTGCTAGCTTGAAGCGGTTGTAGAAAATATGTATTTGGTCTGGTTTCTAAGTGTGCGAGCGCGAGTAGACTTCGTAGCATCTGTTTCGCAAGGGATCACTGCAACACAATATTTTGAGAACAACTGCGTGCGCATGACATTCTAAATGGATGGAGAGGGGGCCGATACCAGCAAGGCCAGGACGGTATGAGTTCATATGGGGAAACAACGAAGGGAAACAATGTTATGTAATATGTCACGTCCCAGGGGGGGGCCTCTAAGCCCTGTGATGGGGAGAGGGTGGGACGTATCTTTCTTAGGAAATGCTTATCACGTATGTGGTGCAAGTTATGCAGTGCAAGCTAAGTGGTGCAAGCTATGTGGTGCAAGCTATGTGGTGCAAGCTGCATGGTGTGAGCTATGCGGTGCAAGCTGTGTGGTGCACCATATGCGGTGCGAGCTATGTGGTGCAAGCTACGTGTCACCACTCGTTTTGCACCACGCGGATCTCACAACATAGCGTGCAATGCATGGGTTCTACTACATAGCGTGTGCAGCATAGCTTACTTCCCATGTGTTGCATCATTACAAGGATTGCAAACCACACGCAAACATACGTGCATACGAAGTCCATGTACGCATATTACTCGTACAACTCCCTACTAACTACGCCACATAGTTTGCACAACCCATGTTTCAACCCAAAGATCGCACCGCATGCATTAGACTCCGCATAAGATACATACACACGTGCGGCGTGCAAACACCCACTGCTGGAGTCCACTCAGGAGGCAACCATGCTGCTTAACCATGTGCGTAACGCCAAAGCGAAGACATGATCTTACAGATGAGCCACCCTCCGCCGGTGCATCCGATGGACATTCAACATTTGCCTGACTAGAGAAATGTGGTTTGAGACACCCCACCATCAACCTCCGCCCCTGTTAGACATTACGCGCTAACATCAAAGAACGTAGCGGATGTACAGAATGTGGTTCTTGAAGGGGACAGCCGTCCCACTGTGTATTTTTGGAGCTCTTGTGTAAGACCATGGCAACACATTCAAAACAACTCGTGGGCGAAACCGACTTACAAAACACCGTCCCTCCATCCGTGTAATCAAGAGTCGTTGCAACCGCTACGGCACGAACCGTCAAACGAGGACAGAATTTTGGAAGGGTGCTACCCTCCATCCGCGCATTGTTTTGGAAACCAGCCCGACCTCCATCCATGTAGTCGCTGTGAGTGTTGGCATTTGCTGTCGTGAAGACAACAAGCCCAGACCGTCCTACCGACGCGTGCGGTGATGCGGCGAGGTGACACTTCATGCATACCTCCATTGTTATATATATGTGTGTGCGTGTACATATATATATATATATGTGTGTGTGCGTGTACACATTGACAACGACATCATTTGCATTTCGAACTATGTGTGTATACATATATATACATATATATATATATATATATATATATATATATATTCACACAAGACTGCAGTGGCGCTTCGCGCCATGCACCTTGGTCCTTGAAGTTTGGTATGCAGGCGGCATAACAGGAAGGTCAAGCCGACAATTTAGCGATAACTCCTTGTTGCCTTTTCTGGCATCGCCGCTATAATCATGTTATTCGTTATCCTTGCTCCTTATTTCTTTTCCTCATTTTCGCCATACCCTGCGCATTCTCCCCATCCTCCTCAGCTTTTTTTGCGGAGGATTCTCCTTGGAGAGCCTCTGGGGGCCTCACAAAAATTGTTTCAGGCTTTCTTATGACCTTCTGGAGGCCTCCTGGGCGTATTCTGGGGGCCTCTGGGGGCTTCCTCGGGTCACCCCTGCCTCCAACCGCGGTCTCCCACGACCGGGTCACGATTTGGAATGCTTCGGAGGGCGTCTTGGGGCCATCTTGGGCCGCCATGGGGCTCTGTGAGGGCCATCTTGGACCCGTGTTGTGCCGTTTTGGGGCTCCCTTGGACTGCCTGGAAGCCTTTTCGATGGTTGTGGGTCGATTTTGGAGCCCCCAGGCGGCTTCGGACGCCCCAGAAGACCACCGTCTTGGAGCGTCGGGAAGCCGAAAAGAGGAGAAACCCCAAATCCACTAAAAACCAGAAAGAAAATCAATGATTTTTGCCTCTTGGGGCCTTCTTGATTGGGAAAGCTCTTGGAGGCCTCTTTCGGGCCGTCCCGGAGGCCTCTTGGGCCATCTTGAGGTCACGTCGGTCACTCTTGGAGCGCTCTTGTGCTGTCTTGGGGGTCTCTGGGGCGTCTCCGATGACGCCCCTGATCGCCCTAGGTGTGCTTGGATGGCTTGGCAAAACGCCCTGCGAGGCCCGAGGGGCCGCTTCGAGGCCCGTCCGGAGGGCCCCAAAGCCCCAGATCCCGGGAGTCTGTTTTTTTTTTTGGGGGGGGGGTCCCCTCGCCCGGGCTTGCAAAAATACAGGAAGAGGAATCTATATTTATATTTACATATGTATATATAAATAATGTATGGTCCAGGGCTTGGGCCCCCCCCCCCAATGCTGA